CTCTCCTCGCTCTCTCTCCCCTGGCTGACTCTCCTCGCTCTCTCTCCCCTGGCTGACTCGCCTCGCTCTCTCTCCCCTGGCTGACTCTCCTCGCTCTCTCTCCCCTGGCTGACTCTCCTCGCTCTCTCTCCCCTGGCTGACTCTCCTCGCTCTCTCCCCTGGCTGTCTCTCCTCGCTACTGCTAGATCACCATCCACCTAATGGGCACCCCTGATATACTGTGTACATTGTTATCTATATACTGTGACCAGCAGTGGTGGAGCGGATAATTTAACGTTTGACATCCTGATTTCTCATGTTTAATGGACGTGTTGCGCAGGTTTTAGGACTTTACATTCGAATGATGTGAATCTGTCACAATGTTGCAAAGTCCCATATAAAGTGTATAGGTGGATATGAGGGATGTGGTGATCACCCATCAATCTTTGAGCCACAACCAGGCGGATGAAGCCAATGGACTGGGGTTTTGGCAACCTCAGCAGTCTGACTGTTGTGGAACTACAAGTCCCATGAGGCATTGCAAGACTGACGGCCACGGGCATGACTCAGTCATGGGATTTGTAGGTTCACCAGAGCTGGAGTGCTGAGGTTGCCCTCCCCTGCAGTAGACCATCTCGGTTCTACCTCTGGACTAGTCTCTGTGGGGACGAGGCAATGCTGCCATTACTGGGTACCAGTTTAAAGCAAAAAAGGCATAAAACATTTTCTTGCAGGAAAACCCGTACAATGTCTTTGTGTCACCTTCCTCCTCCCGCCATTCTTTCCGTCAGATCTGAACAAGCACAAGCGATACGAGATCAGAATAAGCGTGTACAACGCGGTCGGCGAAGGACCGGCGAGTGTCCCCCAAGAGGTGTTTGTGGGAGAAGCAGGTGAGTTTTATATATATATATATTACATTATAATATTAATGTGCACATGATATATTTCCTGTTGATCCTGCCAGTAGATCTGTCGCTTTTCCACTTCCTGTCACAGGCCAAGCAGGTCCAGCAAAAGTGACGGCTA